TTAAAATGCTACCTACTCAAACAGTTCTAAATTGCCTGAAGCATAAATTTAACATATTTTAAAACTGCAATATCAAATGCAAAATCAATATCATTGCAATTGTTCCTCAATTAAATTGAACTCCTGCTGATATTAAAAGTAAGTCATCTTGTAGAATATTACTTCACTTCTTATTTAATCAAAGTGAGACTCACCTCCTGTTGTCCTCTGTAGTTAATGATATTCTTGAGAGGGATTTAGTTTTTTTTTTTTTTATTAAGGTAGATAAAGTGTGAAGAGATTACTGGGGCGATAATAAGAAGATAAAGCAAGTCTTGAGGAAGCAGTGTTCTGCCAATAGTTTCTCAGAAATGGGGTTTGTCTATGTGGGATTGCAAAAGCCTTTGAAAGGCTTTGTCTTTTGTCTGAAAAATTCCAAAAACAAAATGAAAACACCCAAAAGTATATGCATGAAAGGGAACAATATCTGGTGCCATATGTATATGTTGCTTTACACATCCTTTCTGTTTTCATTCCCTGCAATGTTTTGTGTGCCTTCTGTGAAGCCAAGCATTGCGTCTTGAGAGTCTTTTAATGAAAACAGCAAAGGTACAAGAAAGCTCTAAAATCTCTTATGCACTCAAACGCACAACCTAGGGACAAAACATGAATTGAGCATGGTGTCTTCCCTTGTAGTCTCATGCTCAGACAAGTGCGCATTTTAGCAGTGCAGTTCACACGTGGAGTCCAGTGGGATGTGCAGCTATGTGTTTATCATAAGAGCGACACTTTTCTGCGCTTTTCTTCTGCTGCTGCTTTGGGTGAGCCTGAGAGTTCACAGAGCTGTAGAGCAGGAGGAATGGTGGCACTCAGCAGTTCCTTGACAGAGCATCTTTCAGTCCCCCAGCATGGTTTTTAATGAGGGCTCAGGGGGTCAATGGCGTCTGGCTCTCTGGTTGATCACCTTTCATCTTTTTAGAGAGAAGAAGATTAAGCATGTGGAATGACAGTGGCCCATTCCCTTTTGGCTTTCCTGGGAAAAAATTCTCAGCCTTAAATATGCTGTAAACACTGACAAAGCGGACCTATCGATTGTCATAGCTGAACAGCAATTGTGTACAATTCAAATAAATTTTAAACTCATTTAAATAGTTCATGGAAAGAAACCTATTTCATATACGCATAGCTATTCTGCCTCTTTCATACAAGACTAACTCGCTTTTTATGGTTTAGCATACAAAACTTGTATACTGGCATACAAACTTTTTGAGGTCTCTGCATGACCAACAAGTGAGACTCAGTTTGTAGATTTTTATATCTCAGTATGAACTAAGGAGTCTCATTTCTCTCTGACTAACTATGGAAGTTGCTATAAAAAGACAATGGTGCCGCTTTGTGGTTCTAAGACAATATTACCGTGTAAAACTCAAAATATTGCATACCAGAAAAAGAGAAAGTACTACAGTTGTATGGAGAGCACAAAAATTGAGTAAACCACCTGTAACAATACAATTATTAACACTTTTCAAATTCAAACAGCTGTCAAAGCCACAACAAAATGCGTCAAGAAGAAAAAAAAAAGAAGGTAGAGGAAGGACATTAATAAAAGACATGTACCAGGAGATTTAAAAGTGGACTTAAAGGTGCAATAGTATTTTTATTACTTCTTACTAGTACAAATAACTTGGAAAAATATGTAGAACATAATCAAAAATAATGGTTTAAGCCATGGCCTCAGCGCAAGTGTATTATGCAGCTGAGAAAACTCTTTTGGAAAACTGACTTCTGGTCTGGAGTGCATGTCTGTGGATGGGCCTTGGATGGGCCACTTGTCAGTCAAAGCCCCTTCACTGTACCACCACCCAGTCTGAAATTGGCAAGCACCCAGCACATCCAGATAATTCTTCTCTAAGCAAAAAAAATCACACTGTTCCTTTTCGAAAAACTTAACGACAAGAAATGCAGTAAAACCAGAATGAACAGTAGCAATGGTTTTCCAGGATGGATTAATTTATTATTGGTGAAGGGGATGAAATTAGATGAAGAATTACCGACTTTGCTCCTGGACAGGTAGATAAAAGCAATCTGTACAAAGTTTTGAATTGTTTGACTGGTCAGCTTTACATAACAAATCAAATTGATATGTTATTTATTACATAAAATACAAGGACAGCAACAGCACTCATGAACATCATCATAAATCATTATGAGTCAAAGTTTGCATGTTTAAAGTGTTGGCTTTCAACTTGGCTTTCAAGCAGTTGAACGGCCTATTATTTAGCCAGTGATGCTAATGCTGCTAACATGCCAAAACTGACTCTTAAAGTTCATAACAACTTATTACAAAGAAAAAAGGACAGCAACAGCTTCATAAATCATGATGAGCCTCATGTTTATAGTGCTGTAACTTGGCTTTCCAGCAGATGAATGTCTGAGTTCGCTTGAAAATGATATCATGACGGTCCTTGCCAAAGCTAACTCTTGTTAGCATGCTAAACCTAGCTGAACCATCACAGGCTCTGGAGCGGAGCTTTGTGCACATGGGCACTGGGCTCAAAAAAATTATTCAAATCTTATTTAACTCCCCCTATTTAGCCCTTAGAGACCTAATCTTGCCAAATTTTGACAAATCATGCCTAATGCACCTTTAAAATAACAAAAAAAAATGCCTGTTTAATTAATCTGACCCAGTTTGTTCAAATCTAATAGAAGATTTACACTGAAATACATTGAAGGTTAATGCGTTCCACATCTTCCACCACTTCCAGAGCATAAAATATCTCTCTATCTTGTAACTATTCAGAAATAAACAGCAATATATACAGTAAGTAACATCAAAATCCAACAATTAGTCAAACACCTGAAATATTCTATTTCTACTCAAACACCTGAAATCTCCTACAATTAATCAAACACCTGAAATGTCCAACAACTAATCAAACACCTACACTATCCTCCGAAAGTATTGGAACAGCAAGGCCAATTCTTTTGTTTTTTCTATACACAGAAAACATTTGCGTTTGAGATGAAAAGTTGAATATAAGATAGATGTATTGAACAACTTAGAACATGGCACCTTTGGTGGCAGACCCCACAATGTTTAGGTGAGCAAAAGTATAGGAACTGATAGTCTTTAAGTAAATTAGAGTAAATAACACTTAATATTTAGTTGCATATCCCTTGCTTGCAATAACTGCTTCAAACCAGCCACCCACTGACATCACCAAACTGTTGCATTCTTCTTTTGTGATGCTTTTCCAGACTTGTACCGCAGCTTCTTTCAGTTGTTGTTTGTTTTGGGGGGTTTCTCTCTTCAGTCTCCTCTTCAGGAGGTGAAATGCATGCTCAATTGGATTAAGGTCTGGTGATTGACTTGGCCAGCCTAAAACCTTCCACTTTTTCCCCTGATGAAGTCTTCTGTTGTGTTGGCAGTGTGTTTTGGGTCATTGTCTTACTGCATGATGACGTTCCTCCCAATTATATTGGATTAGATTGAGAAGCCATGACAATACCTCCACTGTGCTTGACCAATGAGCTTGTATGTTTTGGAACATGAGCAGATCCTTTCTTTCTCCACACTTTGGCCTTTCCTTCACTTTGGTGGAGGTTAATCTTGTTTCCAGAACTTTTGTGGCTCATCTCTGTATTTCTTTACAAATTCCAGTCTGGCCTTCTGATTCTTACTGTTGATGAGTGGTTTGAATCTTGTGGTATGGCCTCTATATTTCTGCTCTTGAAGCCTTCAAATGGTGGATTGTGATACCTTGTATATGAACTGAATATATATTGTATATGTGTGTGTTACAGTGGTTATTATAGTTATTATATGTATTGTTGCCTGTTGATCACTTGAATTAAAGGGGTTTCATTCAAATCTCAATAACTTAAAATCAAGTAGGCCTACAAATAATGGACGTAATGGACCAACTAGGTCCTGATGTCATCTGTCAGTGTAAAGTTCAGGACTAAAAAGCTTAATTAATCAGGACTAATCAGACTTTATTTAGAATTGGTTGTGTTGTACTAGAATCCTACAGTTGTCCCTTACAGAAAATCACATACATGATCATAAGTTTTTAACAAGTGATTATGTAAATAACATGTAAAATATTGACAATCATGGGCAAAGATCACATGTGGGGGGAAAAAACACATGCACTATATGTGAAAATTCCACATGTGAAAATGTGTGAAACAACATGTGATAACATGAGAATCTTGTGATTATTCGTATGTAAATATTTAAAGTAAAGATGACTTTTCTGTAAGGGGTCTCTCAGAAAATTTACTATGTTCTTAAAGGGAAATGTCATCTGACTAGAGATAACTGGCTAGGGAAATTAGTCCTTCAATGTAAAGAGTGATTATTTGAGTTTGTGTAGCCTTCCTGTCAGCACTAACCAGTCTGGCCATTCTCCTCTGACATCTCTTATCAAACAGTAAGTGCTGCTCACTAGATGGGTTTTTTTTTTGCACCAAGTTAACTCAGAGACTGTTGTGTGAAAATGTCAGCAGATCATCTGACATCGACAAATCTGACACCAACAAACATGCCACAGTCAAAGTGACTGAGATCACATTTTCCCCCATTCTGATGTTTGATTTGAGGCATTAACTGAAGCTCTTGACCTGTAGCTCCATGATCTTAAGCATTGTGCTGCTGCCACATAAGTGACCGATTAGGTACTTGCAAGGTGCAGTTGTACAGGTGTTCCTAATAAAGTGGACATTTAGTGTATGCTTACTGTATATAAGGATTTTGCAGTGTAATGTTGTTGACACTGAATTAACATAGATAGGCCAGTAGAGGGCGGTTAACCATAACAAGATGGATATATACATTTTAATTTATTAAAGAGTCTAATAAGAGAGATGATATAATAAGTCAAGTGCTAAATTGATTAAACTTTTACTTGGTTCTAATTTCATGAAATGCTGGGTTGCATATTGTTGAACTGACAACATATCACAAACTCTAATCTGCACATTCACAATTATGAACTATCTTTAACTATCTTTCGGGCAGTGGTGTCTCAAAGGTTACGGCTCTAGGTTACTGATCAGGAGGTCAGGGTTCAAGCCCCAGCACTGCCAAGCTGCCACTGTTGGGGGCCCTTAGAGCAAGGCCCTTAACCCTCTCTGCTCTAGGGGTGATGTATCATGGCTGATGCTGTGCTCTGACCCCAGCTTCAAGCTGGGATATGCAAAGAAAAGAAATTCACTGTGCTGTAATGTATATGTGACAAATAAAAAGGGTTCTTCTTAAATACCTCAATCTATAAATCTTCCATAAGAAGGAGTAACATTGTCTCAGGATCTTCTTCTTCTTCAGTTTTGAAGAAAGGCCCTCAGATGGGTGATGGAACATTTTCCAGACTAAAACACAGAAGCAGATATCCTGGTTTACCACACATCACTCACTTACTATTTCTTGATGTTGTGCATCAGTTCACTCACTCAGCCAGCAGGTGGCGCAATACACCACCATATCAAATTTCTCAAACTTCTAGGCTCTTTTTTATGTATAAATGACTGACACATTAAATACAGATATAAAATGAATAGTTAATTACACATCATATACTTTAAGTTTACTATATATATAAAACATAATATAGCAGACATCATTTTAAGGTGTTTTCATAGAAATAGACTGACACTGTCAGGTTTTCTGAGGTTGGAAGAGCTATGCATAAAACAATTTCTATTAAATACTCCAAACAAAAAAAAAATACCACACAGGTGAGGTTAAAAAAAGAGTTTACTCTTTTTTTATACTTAAAGCTATACTTTTTAAATATATGACATATTGTCATTCTTACAGATTTATTACTGAACTTGAAAAATCAGTTTCTTATAACATAATTTCAATGTGAAATCCCAAATGTTCCCCCTGACATAAGTCAACATGAGTGTGGAAAACAGTCCCAGTCCTCAAGACTTATGCTTTCCTTGCTCTAATACACTTACCTGAGCTCTCAAAGTGCACAGTCAATATCTAATGAGTCAAGATCCAAATGTGTGTGCTAGAGAAGGGAAGAAACAAAAAGGGGTAGCATGTGGGGTTCCTAGGATAGGCAGTAAAGCCCGTGGGCCTGTTCTGGTGTGGTCCTGTATGCAGCCATCCGTTCAAGTGCCGGTTAGTTTCGCTCTCAAACTAAACAAACTGACAGGCTGTGTTTATTTGCACGATTGAGAAAACAAATTCTAAAATCCCGGTACAGTTCTGGAGATCAAACCCCCAATGCAAAAATCAATTAGTTCTACAAAGTCTCAAGATTGGCATTGAGCAAATTGCCCCTGAAATACAGTTGCATACAAAGCTTATTTTTGTTTTATGTAGAAGAAAGGCTGAATTAAGTTTTAATAAATTACACATGTCCTGTGTTTTGTAATTTAGAACAGAGCCCACAACTTCTTTTTGACCCTGTTTTACATAGTACAGTTTGGCTGAAGAGGGAAAGGGATCCATTCAGACCTCCAGCCATATCATTCACAGGTTGTGTCTAAGAGACTTGATTACTGAGATATGTTTTTTTTTTTTTCTTAAATATGAGGAAGGAAATGTGAAAGTGCTCTAAATAAGCTTTCCTGGCCTTAGTCATCATAAAGCAAACTCTAACACCAGTAAGATTTGGCTTTAAATACAGAACAGTAATATTCTGTCCAAAATCACCAGCAAATGTACACCAACCTCTATTCCAGATAGAGTTTCCCACAACACCCTCAAGGACCCTGGTGTTATTTCAGCTAATGAAATGTTTAATATGATGACAAAAATGAACAAACCTCGAATTTGATATAAAGAGAAACTTCTGGGAATTTGAAAAATGGGATGACCAAATGATGTCAAAACTATCTTGAAAATTATTGTCCTATTTTTCCTAGGCTGGAATGCATAGCATTATGAAATGACTTAATAACAATTCATGAATCAATAAAAAAAATATTTAGCCTCTGGGCCAAGGGAAAAATGAATTGCTCTCAGGATGTACTTTAGAACTTTATGCACTCTTTATATTCATTGAGAAAGAAGCAGAAAACTGCATCTGGAGAGGAAGAAGAAAGACAAGTAAAGCCAGGCCACATTCCATCTTGCCTTCTTGGGCGGCCAACAGACCTGCAGCATTCCTCTACCTGCCCGTCAGACCAGGTGCATACTGCACTCAGTGTGCTCTCTTAGACGCGCACACACACACACACAGTGCAGTGAGACACACACTCATGGGGAGATGGAGGGCAAGGAGGGAGCAGTGGGTGGAACATCCGGGTCTTTGGAGTGGCTCATCACTCACAAAGCACAGCAAATCCAGAAAAGCCTTCATATTGTGGCTTGGTACCTGCCTCAGCTCCAAACACACACACACACACACACACACACACACACACACACAAACACAAACATGCAAGCAGCACTTGGAGGGGATAAGTGACTCTCGAATGGGAGGAGGAGAGCTGGGGACTGGGGAGAGGTGAGAAAGGGGAGGAGGGTGGAGGAAACTCATTTCAATGCTCCTCTCATGCGGAGGCAGTTGTATCTGCAGGGTTTGCCGAATGTAAAAAAGCCACAGCCGCTCCCAGAACAAAAGCACCATTCAGCGTGTGGAGCTGCTTCCCCTCCACACTACTCCAGTATCGTGCTTGTGCACACTCAGCCCCAGCAACACACACACACAGTCTACTTGTACATGCTATTTGACAGGCATGGGACTATATGCTTGAAAGGCTTGAATCAGACCCATTATTTCCAGCGTGCTGGACTGTTCCTTCCCTTCACGCTCCGGCTGCCTCCAAGTTCTCCCACAGCCCCCCAACCTCGCTCATGTGTGCAAGAAGAGCAGGCGAAACCCTCCCTCCCTCCTTTTCTCCCCTTTTCCATATGGCCTTTCAGCACTTAACTTCCAGCCATTTCCCCCTTTAAAATCGATGTAAAAGGGAAGCACTGACGGTCCTTAACACCCCTCTAGCTGGCTCGCAAGTGGTTCATTCCAAGGCTGCAGAAGTTGAGAGAGCACATTGTTCATAATCTAGCACTGGAGGGGTGACTGCATGAGCTGCATATCCTTTTTCCCCAGTGCCTTGCTAGATCTATTTTTCTTTCCCATACAACATAGCCTTGATAATCTGAACCATCCTGTGCCATCCTATTTTGTGCAGGATGTTCCAACATCTGATCACAATCAAATAATCTGGACACAATGCTGCTCTTTATGAAGGACTGCCGGTTGCTCCCAGAAGAATCTTGGGAGATTAAGGGGGGGGGGGTTGCACAGCTGAGTGTGTGGAGAGGGAATAACATATTGTATAACACCAGAGTTGTTATTTTTTTAGTGGAACACAGAATCAAACAGGAAGTCTCGAAGTATTGGGAAACTACCCAACATCTTTTAAAGACCATATCTTTAAGGAATCACGTGTATTTTCCTTCCAGTGTCACTGAGGTCAATTTCACTTCCTCTTACACTGTTAATGTCCTCTTAGTTTTCAGTGCTTAAGCTCCCCACCCATTTCACTCTCTTGCCAAATTATTATTATATGGGAGTTTCCAACTTTTTAATCCTCAAATAAAAAAAAAATATTGATTTAGCCCTAAACCATTCATATTTACAAATGATAAATGTATCAAGACATTCATGATCACTAATTCTTCTCATTCACTAAAATTACAGATGATTTCACATGCACCCACCCATCCCAAGCACTAATTATTTCTTCCATAGTAATAACCTATTTCCTTCAAATACCCTTAAAATTACAGACCTGAGGTGATTTCTATATTTCTTTGATAATTCCTATCTGATATGCAGGTCTTGTGACTGTGCATTATCTAAAAATAAGTGTTAGTATCATTATAGACATTTGCTGCTTTTGCAGGTAAATAACAGTTTGTATAAATATAACATACCAAAGACCGCACCCCCTACTTCCAGGCTTCAACACCTTTTTCTTGCCAGCCTGCAATTAGCATACCTGACAAACGGCGTTCCTCATGACCCAGACTCACACTAATAGCAGGTATGTTGTGATCAGGTGACTGAGCTATTAAAACCCTACACTTCTGATGAATGGGACTTGCCTGTAGGCTGCCTCTTTGCACTTAATAAGATAAGCTCATTGGCTTTCTTCCTGTTGTTAAATGAGACCCGTCACCTCTAAAAGCAAAAGGTCAAACGCAGAACATTTCTATTTAATGCCTTTGGTAGCAAATAAACATATGACAGTGGAAAAAGCAGACAGTGTCATAGTGCCCTGTGACTGAAATGATTCAAATAGATAGATTTGTGTAGAAAACTGAGATATGAAAGAATACAACTTAAGTAACATGCATCCTGTTTTAAAAACAGATAATGTATGTTAAAAGTGCAAAGAATGTCAAAGTAGCAGCATCTCTGCTGTACATCTCTGAGCTAAACAGACCGCTGCTTTGCTGTTTGGTACATGGTGCTATGTGACCAACACAGGAAATGCATAAACATCCATATTTGTGGTATGAGAAAGCAGACCAACTTCCTGAACTCTGAATACTCCTAAGGATAGAAGCATGCTGTTTAGATATGTCAAAGATGGTCATTGTAGTTCTGTTAAGGAGAGACAAGAGCTACTTCATTTCGGATCATGATGGGAAATGGAATTCTGAAAAAAGCAATGTTCTGTATTTTAACATAATGGCATTTTCCCGATTTATTTACCAAGATAAAGATATTGTAAGGCTACTTGCCTCTTCAAATAACATGACAACTAAATACTGTAGTACCCTAACACCCTAAAACTACAGTACAAGCTGTCACATATCTTAGAAAGAATATAATGAACCATATTTTTCTCTATGATGTGGACATGGTTAGTATATACAAATCGGGGTTTGTGGCTTAAACTGTAGCACATTTAGCCAGATAACTGGCTCTCACTATAACAACAAGGCAGAAACTTTTAGCTTGATTTCCTACAGAAAAGAACTGCAAAAGCATATAAACCTACATAACTGGTCATAATTGTCTTGCTTATTGCAAGCTACCGGTCATATATTGGGTTTTAAGCATCACTGTAGCTATCATCCATATCCATATATAAATATAAATATATAAATATATACA